GAATGGCTGCTAGAGCGCGGCTAGCCTCGTCGTTCCTCCGGCTTTGGTCGAGGTAGGGGCCATAGGTGACGGCAGTGGTTTGACTCCGCTTTGTTTTAATTTTTTTTTATTTCATTTTTTCTCTTTTTTCCATTTCCTCGCGGTTCCGCGGTTTCCGCGCGGTATGCCGTGAAAACCGCGGAAAACCGGCCGGTTTTCGTTTTCAAACCGTTCAAATTCAGTTTTTAGTGTTTGTGCGGTTTTTGACGCGGTTTTCGCGGTTTTTGCGAAAACCGCAAAACCGCAGCCGGGCGGTTTTGGCGGCTCGGACGAGAACTGGAACCGACACATGAGTTGCCACATTATGCATTCACCAGTTGTTTTGTTTTTGTTACCTAGTTCTTATAGGTTACACTCTTATATGCACAATTATCTTATATGAAATGCTGATGAATGTTGACTTTTGAGATCAAAGATGATAGTCTATATTTATTTATTTTTGTGGCGGAAAGTTATATTCAATGATGTCCATAGCATTTTTACTTAGCTTCGTTTACTTTACTCTTTAGTTGTATGTTTTTGCTATATGTGCAAGTTTGAGCATATACTCAAATTTACTGGGCCTGACATGCTTACTTTCCATTGGAAATAGTGCGAAGGCTACTGATGCATATGAGCGTGCAAGAACAAAAGTTGCAAACTTTGTCAATGCAGCTGATAGCAGAGAGATTATTTTCACTCGTAATGCTACTGAAGCTATCAATTTAGTAGCCTACTCATGGGGCCTTTCTAACTTAAATCAAGGAGATGAGGTAATTCCATTTTGTGCAGCTGATGCATCATGTAATTATGTATTTCAATAATAATGCATGTTATGAAGTGCCTTTATCATTTTTATGACATCTTCTACCACTTTTGCGAATCTGTTCTTGTTGTTTCTTCGTAGTTTATATTAAACTAAAAATGTTCATAAAAATCTATTATAACCTAACCATTTGCCCGGTAGTGGTTGTGCTTATGTCTCCTAAAAGATGCAGTCTTTTGCCTCTTTTGTGTCCTTGCTGCATCCTGATTAGAACCTTTTCTTCTATTATGGTGGCCAGATCATTCTTACAGTTGCAGAGCATCACAGTGCTATTGTTCCTTGGCAATTTGTGTCCCAGAAGACTGGTGCTACCTTAAAGTATGTTGGGCTGACTAAAGAAGAGGTTCCAGATATTGATCAATTCAAAGGGCTTCTGTCCAACAAAACCAAGATTGTGGTTGTCCATCATGTCTCAAATGTACTGGGTTAGTTGATGTTTTGTTTATAAATAAAAAATATTAAGGGCGACAAGTTAGAGTCCCTGTGAAAGGGTACTGAGCTAAGGACATAATAATGTTTGGTGTTGAAGGGTCTGTTGTTGATCCTGATTCTACTACAACGTTCATGGATTCCAGGTTCAATGCTTCCTATTGAGGAGATAGTAACATGGTCAAGCAAAGTTGGAGCTAAAGTTCTTGTAGATGCCTGTCAAAGTGTTCCTCATATGACTGTTGATGTTCAGAAGCTTGGTGCAGATTTTCTTGTTGCTTCCTCTCACAAGGTTTTTTCTAACTCTGTTGCTAAATAACCTTGTAGCAATGTCATAATAGCACAGATGTTGACCTTAACAAGTTCTATGCTAAATTTCTCAGATGTGTGGTCCTACAGGCGTTGGATTCTTGCATGGCAAATTTGAGATCTTGTCATCTATGGAGCCATTCTTAGGTAAGATACTGCTATTCACTCTATGATAAGTCTTGTGGTTGACATTTACTGCTGGAAATAGAACCATGACTAAATCTGAGCTCTTCTCCGAGGAGATGCTTTGCGGAGCCTTGATTACTGATATTTCTGCAGGAGGTGGCGAAATGATAGCAGACGTGTTTCAAGACAAGTCCACATATGCTGAGCCTCCTTCTAGGTGAGGAATGCAATAATAATTTTATGTTTGTTTGAATCTTTCCAAATCTGCCATAAGATTATATTTATCTTCTGAAGAAAACGGGACAAGTTATACAATATGTAGCATGACGAAGTGAAATGTCATATGCGTTGGCCCAATAGCATAATCTTAACCGCCGGCGCCGCCGGCGCTGCCCAACTCCAAGCGCCCGGGGATACAGGAGAGATACTCCTAATAATCTTCTTCTTTATTGCAAATAATCTATCATTCTTTTGGTGTGTGCGGCATGCATATATAGGCTGCCATATTACAAATTGACTTGCACTCCAAGCTAACAAACTAATCTATCTAATTAACCTAACCTAATCTAGGGCTGCACGGCTGACCTTGGGCCTATTGGGCCAACGCATATGACACTAAGTTACAGAAAAGAGTAATACAGTCATCTAGAATATGGCCACGGTTCACTTTAAAAAAAAAAACAGAATATGGTCATGATACAACTTCATGCTATAGGTTCTCAACATGGTGCATAAAGTCCTAACATTATAAGACTTTTAGTCTTTTACAATATTCTAAATGTACATTGGTTTGCTTACCTACACATGTTTTGACGTGTACATTGAATGATAGATTATTGCCAACCTCTATAGCAACAAGCAAGCACAGAAGCTTTTTTATCTGTACCAGAATTTTAGAGAGAGATGAAATGATGGTTTACCAAAGTTTATTATTAGATTGAAAAGTAATAGGTAGTTCTCTCTTGTTAACTGATTCACAGTATTTGCTGTCACAATTAAGAATGCGCTCTCCTGTTTTTTCTTTATCTTGTTCTATAGATACTCTAATTATGATATGTTCTAAAAAGGTTTGAGGCTGGAACTCCTGCAATTGGGGAAGCAATAGGTCTGGGAGCAGCCATAGATTATTTATCACAGATTGGCATGGAGCAGATCCATGAATACGAGGTCCGTACAAATTTTCTGTCGGAGCAGATCCATGAATATGAGGACCCTTATTTAATCTTTGTTTTACATTTTGTGTCGTTTGCTAGGTTGTGCTCATTGGGCTCTTCTAATAGAGTTCTAAAGCTCCTTGCATGATAGTATTTCTCACTTCTATTTATTTATACATTTGTCCAGAAAGAGCTGGCGACATATCTCTATGAGAAACTTATTTCTGTTCCAAATGTCCGGATCTATGGTCCATCTCCTTCACAAACTGGTCACCGGGCCCCTTTATGTTCTTTCAATGTTGAGAATGTTCATCCTACAGATATTGCAGAAATTCTTGATCTCCAGGTATGTTGAAGTTCCAGTTTTTATGCAAATACAGTTTTGATTTTATCTGAAGTGGAAATAACTCTAATAATTGCTCTTAGCTTCAGTATTCGAATTGGATAAATATTTTTTTTTAACAACTTTGTAACTCTCCACTACATTCCTGCTATTTCGCATTACTGATCTCTCTGGAATTTATTTGATGTATTGCCTAACTTGTACTGTACAATATGAAACAAGTAGAGCTAGACATTCTACATCATATTGCAAGCAGAATTGCAGAAATAATGACTATCAGGAAACCGGCAGTGTTATGATGCGCCATCATATATCACATATACTGTTTGTATCTTCTGATGTGTATTATCTAGTTGGCATGCACGTTGCAACAAAATAACTGCTAAAACCGGATGTTTTGGGTTAATTGCATCCATTGAGGACATGAATAGTTTGCATTGATACATACTGATTTCTTGTTTCAGCATGGAGTAGCAATTCGGTCAGGACATCATTGTGCACAGATTCTGCATCGGACTCTTGGTATCAATGCAAGTGCTCGTGCAAGTCTTCACTTTTACAATACAAAGGAGGAGGTGGATGTCTTCATCCATGCGCTTAAAGATACTATTGATTTCCTCACTTCTCAACACTAGCATGGGTCAGTTAGTAAGTTAGCCCCTTTTGCGAGATTATTCATTACAGTAACCTAGCAGTGCCCAAATCCGCTTTCTTATTCATTGTCTGGTTTGAGCTTCTGTGTGACATAGTTGGAACAAAGGTTACATCCAAATTGTATATGTACTCAAAATATCAACTTCCTTTCTGGCTGTTCTTGTAAAGGCGAGCACAGAGTACTGACATCCTCATTTTAGTGGTCATGCATATGAGAAGTTCTGGGGTCAGTGTTATACAGCTCAGGCAATTCTTCTTGCACTTTAATCTGCAACAGATATAAGCTAATAAAAAGATTAAGTGTGAGAAAAGAGTTTCTTTTGCGTTTACTTTTGTTGAGCTGATTTTTTCTGCTGTTACTAGTTTCTTTTTTCCTCTGAAATATTTTTAATATGTGTGATGATCATATGGTGAATTATCCGTTAGAGCTGATTTTGTGTGTGTGTGTGTGTGAGAGAGAGAGAGAGAGAGAGAGAGAGAGAGAGAGAGAGAGAGAGAGAGAGAGGGAGAGGGGGGGGGGGGGGGGGGGGGGTGGGGGGGGAGCTCGCTGTAATGTGCATCTGAATTCAGTAGAAATTCGAATTGCTCCTTTTGCTTGGGCAGCCAAAAATCTGTGCAACATTACGTTGTTAAGAGACAGAGAGCATAGTGCTGCTGCTGTTGAATCTTCCTTTTTGCATCTGAATGATTTGGTCAGAGGCTAGGAGCCCCCATTCTCATGGCTGGGTTCCATGCTCCACTGAATCATAAATAGCCGTTGCCTTTTATCTGCGAACATGCTGGTTTTTAAGCAAATGAATCGTCCACGCTGCACAAGTGTAACCAGATGAGGAGACATTTGAAAGGGGGTGTTCAGAAATGATAGTTTGGCGGGCCTCTCTTTTGATCTGGAGCGTAATGTTTCTGGCCTGGTGCATCTGACTAGTGCTGTCCAAACGGGCGGCACGGCCCGAGCCCAAAATGGGACGGCCCATTTAATTTTGGGCCGGCACGGCACGTAATTTATTTCGGGCCGTGCCTGACCTACAGCCCACAGCACGGCCCGAAATTATATAATCGTGCTGGGCCGGTCCGTTCCTGTTATGGCACGTCGGCTCGTTTAGCCTATTAGTGTAAATATATAGCAAAATGAGTGTTAAAATAGGAGATTTGAGATTTGAACCAAAGACCTCATGGTCTAGAGTCAAGGGTTTTACCATCAGACCAAGTTCCCTTATTGAGTCTAGGAGAATTAGAAATATATTTACACTATTTTCTATTCGGACTCGTTCTTTAATAGGCCATTATCGAGCCTTTGCGTGCCGCCGCTTTAACGGGCCGTGCCCGTGCCGCCCGTCGTGCCCTACCCTTGGTCCAAACACGGCCCTTACCCTCGTGCCGTGCCGGTCCGGATCCGAAATTATTCGTACCGTGCTGTGCTTGGGCCGGGCCAAACTTTGCGTGTTTTGTGCCGCCTGTTTAGCCCGGCCTATTTGGACAGCACTACATCTGACCAAACTAGGGAATGGCAAAGGTAGATGAACAGGCCAATTGTTTCTGTTGAGCTGACTTTTGAGTTTTCACCGCAGCTAGCGATCGTTTCCCTCTGCGAGGGGAACAATGTGCTAGTAACCACAACCAAAGGACTGTATTGTAACTCGTAGACTCGTACGTAAATACTGTACCACCCGTATCAGTGAAAGGATATGCCCAAAACTTGTCAAATGCATTGGATTACTGCATTTGCTCGGCATTATTTCTCAGCCAGGATACAACGACCAAACTACTCTCTCTCATAAACAAGTCAGATGATGCTGATACACCTGACCAAAATTCAACTTAAAACACAGCCTACTTCCTATATGCCTCAAACGAAGACCAAAAAAAAAAAAAGTTTTTTCCCCGCATATTGCTCTAAATTTGAATTACTACTACTTCTAGGCTCTCGAAAAAGAAAGGCGCTCCCAAAAAATTCGCAGTACTCCGTTGGATTTGCCCATTTTCTGGGGGCAAGAAACGGTCAGACTGCGACGAGCTCCGGCGAGAAGAGGTCGTCGAGATCGCCCAGGTCCCCGAACTCGCAGGCCGCAGGCGCCGGGCCCCACAGGCTCCCGTCGTCCGGAAAGCTGAAGTCCAATCCCAACGGCTGCTCCTCCTGGAACCACATCCCTGTCACGTCCTCTTCCGCATCAACCACCGACGACTCGGGCGACGGATGAGAGGCCGCGGAGCTCTCCGCCTCAGGTGACGGCACCGGAACTGGAGGAGGAGGCGCATCCGTGAAGGTATCGGACGTCACGGCAGACGACGAAGGGGAGGAATGGAGGAAGTTGGTGACGGCGGTGGGTCCACGGAGGCGGAGCACGGCGGAGTCGTAGACGGCGGCGGCCTCCTCGGCGGTGTCGAAGGTGCCGAGCCAGCGCTTGGTCCCGAGGCCGGGCTCGCGGATCTCCGCCGACCACTTGCCCCACGGCCGCAATCGCACGCCGCGGAACCGCCTGCCCTGCTCCCTTTGCCCGGCGGCGCCCGCCCGCTGCCTACTTTTTCTCCCACTTCGACTCGCCGCCGTAGGGAGAGAAGGAGAGGAGGAGGGCGAGAGCAGGTCGATTTCTTGGACGCAGCGGCGGCGGCGGCGGTCGGGGCGGCGTTGCTCGTCTTCAGAGTCGTCGTCGGTGGCGTCGGCGTCGAGGAAGTGGACGCGGACGAGGCGGGCGGAGGCGTGGTGGCACCGTGGACGGAGATCCATGTTCATCGCAGCTCGTCGAATCCAACGGGAGAATCGAATTGGAGCTGCTGGTGGTCGGGTTTTGTTTGCTGGGTTTATCAGATAGAGAAGGGGGAAAAGAGTGGGGAAGGCCTACAGTCCTCAGGGGCATTTACGGTATACACGTCCGTGCTCCCGTGGAGTGAAGCAGCCAAGCAAAATACCGTGCGCTCCTTGTACCGACAGCAAACTCCGCTGGGGTCCCTAGCGAATCCAAAACAGAAAAAAGGAAGTTGCAACTCGATTTTAAATTAGTTTCAACTCATTTTTGAGGAGTTTCAACCCAGATTTTAATGACTTTCATCCCACTTATTTCAGAAGTTTCAGCTTGAATTCAAAAGTTTCAACTAGGATTTTCAAAAGTTTCAACTCGAAATCAAATGTATCAACTAGGATTTCAAAGTTCCAACTAGGATTTCAAAAGTTTCAAGTCGGAATTCAAACGTTTCAACTCAAGATGTGAGAAGTCCTAATTCGTATTGAACCACCTTCTCTGGTTCCGGCGAGCTTCAACGCGGGCCATGGCGGCGGCGGCGGCGGGCGGGATCCAAGGTGCCATGTGGTAGCGACATGCGGCGCACGGAGGTGGAGAACAGGGGCTACGGCAGTGGCGCGCAAGGGCAACTCCGGCGGCTCGGCGTGTGGGAAAGCTGGAGTGGGCGAGCTTCCAGCAGCTGTTTAACGGAAAAATTATGATTTTGTCCCTCGCAGCTTGGAGAAATAACGTAAATCTGTCATCTTATCCCTCTCCTGATCCTTCTCGTCCCTTTCGCGATGCACGCTCAACGGCTCAAGTCCGCCCCAATCCATCTATTCCACTTTGCTTGCTTCCGTCTTTTCCCTTCCAGCAACTCCACTGCTAGCTGTAAATCGTCCCGATCCGACTCCATCCCGCCCTTGACTGTAGATCACACAAGGGAGCCGACTGCTTGTCGTCGCGGATTGATCGAAAAGACGACGACCTGTTCTCCTTGGACGAGAAAGCAACGGCTCCGACCGAACCTTGGCCTCGACTTCTTCAGCCAGACCTCGAGCTTCCCCACGGCGGTGTCCTCCTTCGGCGGTCCTGGCTCCTTTCACCATCGTGGATCCGCCGGAGTCACACAGGTTGTCGACTTTCCAGACAACTTAACATGTCCTACTTGGAGTTGATGCGCTCGTCATCGGGTGTGGTCTTGTGGTCGGAGACCAGCGGTGAAGCTCGAGCTAAATTAATGGGGGTGCACTACTTCATAACACTTCAAAAAACACCTCATTTTGGTGCCAATGAGTGCATAAGACTGACTCCAACAGGTGCCTTATTGGGCACCCTATACTTAAAATGGGGCAAAAAATGAAAAAAACTGTCTCCAACCGGTGACCTACATACCATATCCATTGTGGGGTTGCTGGAGGTCGCGACCGACTAATAGGGCAGTGTTAAGCCATCTGAGCATGCGCGCGCGCGTCTCGGCTCCAGGCCCGTTGCACGCCTGCAGTAGCCTCCTCTTCGCGCCGCCGCCGCCGCCCGTGCTGAAGGCAGCCTCCTCTTCGCTTATGGTTGTTGCTGTTCACGGCTCACCTCGATCCCCTGCACCCGCGTTCGCAAATCCCGCACTCAATTCACTTCGGCGACGCGATCCAACAGCGGCGATTCGGCGGCCTTGGATCGAGCTTGAGGCGGCAGCGAATTCGACGGGGGCTCGATCCACGTGGCCGAGCGAGATGCGCACAGGGGCATGGGGTCCGGCGTCTGGGGCGCGGGGCTGACTGGGGCGGCATGAAAAACGATGGTTGTGGGCACGCCGTCGAGGCGTAGAAGGCACGAAGCACGGAGAAGCCGCCTGCCATGGAGGCACGAGCCGGTGGCGGGTGCGCGGTGCGACGGCAGAGCTGGAGCAGGATTGGCGGCGGAGCTGGGGCGGGCGCGGGGGTACTTCCAACGCGACGTCGGGTTTGTCCCCGATCTGCTCCTTGTCGGCGTCCCCGATTGCAAGCACGATGGGGAGGGACATGTTAACGAGGCCGCCGCCGTCGGGGAGGCGGAGGCAGTTGAAGTGTAGGCTCTGTAGGTACTCATCCTCGCGCATGAACCCATGGAACGGGCTTGCCCACCCCTCGGCGAGCACGTGCGCCCACTGAAGGTCGGCGAGAGACATGCGCACCCGCGGCAGCTGCTCCGCTGTAACATCCGGTTTTTTGGGGGATTTTTTTTAAAAATATTTTATTTGCCTTTTCTCACTTTAAGTCAGCTGGAATTTTTTTTGGAGTTTTATCTGGTTTCTCTGCTATTTATTTGTCTCTCCTGATTTATCTTTCTTAGTAGAAAATCTTTTAGCCTTATTAGAAAAATCCTATAAACTTAGAACTGAGCTACGGCCCCTAATACATTTTGTTCGGGCCTGCTACTAAGGCAACCCTTTTCCTGTCCAAACTGGCCATTAAATTCAACCATTGAGCTTCTATCATACACCATTATTTGGTCTTTTATTAGTTAATCTATCATACAGCTTTTCTGGCCTAGCAATCAGATTTGCGCATCTCCAAATGATGCCGTACCTTGTTTCCAATAGGGTGTTCTCTCATAACCAACACAACTAGTATAGCTAATTACATATACTAGTTGCAGTTTGTTGCCGTACAACCATTGAGATACTTCAAATTCATACCCTCTTGCTTTCATAAATGTAAGCCCGCTAGCCTACTAAATTCCTTCAGTCTTGATACCGAGAATTTGCCGAGCTTAAGTGCTAGCACATTTCATACATGAACAATCATAGTTCCTTGAACCCATCCAATCTTAGGGTCTACTATCCATTTGGAGTTCTTTCGTTCTATTTGCTTTATTTAATTTATTTCTTTTGCTTGCAATTTTAGTGCTTTAGCCTTATTGGCTACTCTATTCTTCACGTTAGAATACGAGGGGTGTCGCAGCGGGAGGTTTGGTGGTCTAGGAGGAGAACGACGACGTCGTCGAGCAAGAAGGCAAGTCACACTCCAATCGATCATGTAGCACCTATGTTTACTCTTATTAGTGTGCATGGTTGATTCTCCTTGATTTAGTCGTGGTCATAGGATCATGAAAATAAATATGATAGAGGTTCCACACCTAGCTAGCATGATATAGCCATCCTATCCACATCGGCCAAATGACTGAGAAGTGAACCTAGCTCGAAGTGCAACTATTAGCTAGATGGAATAAAACTTGGCTAGGGTGAGGTTAATTTGGAGCTATCACTGAGGTTACAATATTCTGGATTGTGGGAGGTGAAATGGTGGTATGTTGATGGCGGAGTTATCCTTTATGGTGATTGTGTGCACATCGACCAACTTTAGTCACGTGGCCAATCACTAATGATGGGTGTTCTGTGGCCAATCACTAAGGATGGGTGTTCTGTTCATATTGATTGAGGAATGGTGGGTTAAGTCAAGATAAAAACATAGTTTTGTCCAGCCATATGGACTGACTCGCTGGACATGATTGGTAACAG